AGGCACACCCGCTGCACCCTGGCCGCTGTGAGGGATGCGGGTGGAGCGGCTAGGGTGACCCGCTCCAGGCACCCGCTGCAATTAAATACGCGCGGCTGGGGGGAGCCGCTGTGGATCGGTCGCTGCGCTTGGGAGCGGCTTGACTCACCCGCTCCATGCTGCCCGCTGTGAATGTCTGGCCACAGCGACCAGGCAGGGCCGCTGTGAGTCGGTCGCTGTGGCTCTCTCCGGGTCTAGATCACTCCTTTTGCTTCTTTTGAGCCTCTAATGAACCCCAAATGTCTCCAAAGCTTCCATGTGAAACTCCAATACCTAAAGGGGACTCATGCATGCAAAATGCAACCTAAACATGGCTAGAACCTAACCTACATGATGAAAAGGTGTGCAAAAGAGTAGATAAGACAATGCAATAATGCAAGACATCAGTCAACAGTGTCGATCGATGACAGATCAACCGCGTTGATCGACGGATCAACAGTGTCGATCGACGTCAGATTTCCAGTATCGATCGATGTCGGAAGGTCAGTATCGATCGATATCGGAAGAAGGGATCGAACGATCGACGTCAGACGAGTTCCTTAGTTCTGGAAATCAACGTGTTGGGTTTGAAAAATGCAGTAGTGCTAGAGATAAACCAAGGAGAGTTGATGTCAGGCCACCAGAGAGATATCACTTCGATGATATGGTTGGTTATGCACTGCAGGTTGCAGAGGAAGTGGATACTTATGAGCCATCCACTTACAGAGAAGTCGTTTCTAGTTCTGATTCTGAGAAATGGTTTGTTGCAATGGAAGATGAGATAGATTCTCATGAGAAGAATCATACATGGGATCTGGTCACACTATCATCTGAGTACAAGAGGTGTGACAACTATATGGCTAGTTTGGACAATGAAGGAGTTCTTATGACTGTTGTTTTTACATAAGCAAAGTGGAGGATGTTTCGTGTATCTACGTGGTGTTTTATGTAGATGACAAGCTGATAGCTTCCAAGAAGATGTATGATGTTCAGAAGCTGAAAGAGCTGCTGAATTCTGAGTTCGAAATTTTCTGGTACCTTATGGGTACATCTGATGTTGGTCTTGTCTACGGAGACAAGGATCTGAACATAGTTATAGGTTATTCTGATTGGTATTATGCAGGAGATGTGGACAGTAGGAGATCTATGACTGGTTACGTATTTACCTTGGGTGGTTCTGTTGTGAGCTGGAAGGCGACTTTGCAGTCGACAGTGACTTTGTCTACTACTGAGGCAGAGTATATGGCATTGACAGAAGCTACTAAAGAGGCAATATGGTTGAGAGGATTGGTCAGTGATTTTGGTCTTCATCATGATCAGGCTACTGTGTTTTGTGATAGTTTGAGTGTTATCTGTTTAGCCAAGGATCAGGTTCATCATGAGAGAACCAAGCATATTGATGTAAGATACCATTTTCTGAGAGATGAGAAGAGGATTGAAGTGAAGAAGCTAGGAACAGCTGATAATCCTGCAGATATGTTCACTAAGCCGGTTCCTCACAGCAAGTTCAAGCATTGTCTTGATTTGCTGAACATCTCAAGCTGTTAATCTGACCCTGAAGGGCATCTGGCCCTAAGGGGCATCTGGCTCTGAGGAACGTCTGGTCCGATGGGACATCTGACATCTGAGTTCGACGAAACATCTGAGGTAAAGAGAGAGTCTGGTACATCTGAGCACGAAGAAGTGCATCCTGGTACATCTGATTATGGAGGATTCAAGTCAAGGTGGAGATTTGTTGAAATATGCCTTGAATCTGCGTCGGTCGATCCAGGTGTCATGGATTGGTCGATTTGACTGGACACGTATCGATCGATACAGAAGCCTTTGTATCGATCGATATTGTCAAATCCGAGAAAATATGGAAGGTTTCATTAAACGTTTTCATATATATATTTAGGGTTTTGCCCTATTTTGTAAAACGAGTTGTACTCTGAAAAACTAGCATCCAATAATAAAGTATTCCTTTTGCCCGTTGATCAAACCACGTTAAATCCATGTGTTTTTCTTTTCTGTTTATCCAATCTGTTAATTTATATCTTCTCACATCTATCACAACATTATAATAAAATAAATTTTCTACAACTTCTTAATATGAAACGAAAATAGTGTAAATTATGTTTAATCTTAAAAATAACATTTAAAATTAAAAAATAGTTTTACATTTAAATATATTTTTAAAAAAATAATATTCACATTTAAGATGTAATTTTATTTTTAAATAAAATGATATAAATTAAATTATATTTAAATGTGAAAATTATTTTAGAAAAACTAAAAAGATTGAATTGTAACTGTCATTTTGTTTAAAGGTAAGGAAGAATAAACTCCGAAAGAAATGTTAGAATAGTTTATGGTCTCGTCTACCACTTGACTACAACCATGCATGAACCAACGGAACATCTCCAGCTAGCTATATCTTTAATCAATCGAGTGTTTAAAGAAAAGAACTTGTTATATGATAAACAATTCAAACTTTTTTCCTCCTGATACAAAGAAGAAAAATAAGTTATTTATCTGAAAGTGATAAAGTATTCTGTTACCTTGTGCTAATATATGTAAACCTTTCTACTGGGCCAATAAATATTTTAGATACCCGGTTCTAATGTTACTCAAAGAATATCATATGAATGTAATGATCATACAATACAAAGAAACACGCTTCTTTGCCACAGGTACAACGAAACAAGGAGACTATGCAATAGAATGAAGGATGGGCTCTAAGAGCAACATTATGGGTGGGATGGGGATAAAGGCCCTTAACATTTTTTAGTATTATTTTTATGTTTAGGGATTAAGTTAAGGGCCTTTACTAAATGACTTGATTATTGGTGGGTCTTAACCTTGTCCCTTAGTTAATAAAATTTACCTATGATCTAACAAGGATAAACACACTTATATCTAATTCATTGTTGGGTGTTGCAGGATGCTATAAAGAATATTGATGATGAGTAGAGAGATATGCATACAAAGAAGGGAACTAGAACAGTGTCGGATGAGCTCTAGGATTTGTAAAACCTTCGTGGAGAACCATGTATCAGACGTTGAAATGTTATATATGTGATGACACTAACATTGATACATCAATGACACTGTCACACTGAACTAAGAAGAATGTTAACATTGATCTTACTCTTTCAGTATCCATAATTTATATAATTTGATTTTTTATGTATCAACACTGCAATATGTTTATAGGAAAAAGAATGCTCGTAGTTCTAGATAGATGCATTTATATGAGTGAGCCTCAAGAAAATGAAAGGAGGACTCAAAGAGTACATTTGGAACTCAAAAGACAGAATCTCACCAAGCAGTAAGCAGTAGCTTCCTTCAAGTAGGCGATGAGATCAGCACGCTCTTGTGGCTTCTTGAGCCCAGGGAAGACCATCTTCGTTCCAGGAATGTACTGCATAACAAGAAAAAATCAGAATCCTATAGGCACAACAATAAAAACAACAGAGAATGATACTATAAATAAAAAAACGGTTACCTTTTTGGGGTTGAGCAAGTAATCGTACAAGGTCTTCTCTTCCCATTCAACAGCTTTGTTCTTGTTAGCAGCAGAGATCAAATCTTAAAAAGACTAAACTGAATAAAAAAAAACAATAGAAAGCAATGATGCGTACCACCAATACTCTTGGCTGCATCTTTAAGACTCCCTGCAAAATACTGACTAAGCACATCCAAAGTAATGGTTTTATCTGCTTTTAAACGCTTTTTCTCAACCATACTACTGAAACCATCACTAGAGAACATGCTGCTCTCATTGACATCAAAATCTCTTTTCAAACCAAACACATCATTCCCCTTGTCTCCTCCATCAAATACCAAATCTATATTTGGTGTTACTATCACTTCACTCTCTTCTTCTAGTTCCTTATCCGTAACAGTCCTTAAACTTCTAGGCACATGAGCCAGAATACTCGAAAGAGCATTCAACATCTTCCTCTGCTCCTCTACATCATCACAGTCTTTAGGTAAAAAAAACTCCAAAATAAAATCAGCAGATCCCGTATGGATACAGCGTAGCCGTATCGCAACGGCTCCATGTAAACCGAACATGTTAGCATGGTGAGAGAGGGTACTCAGACTTCTTGTAGTTAGAGACATCAGGAGGAAAGCAAGGTCCATTTGTCAAGAAAGCTTGTCCTGCAACTCCTTGGCCTTTCAAGAGGTGATGCTCAGAGCAAGCTTCATGGAACTCAAGGACTGTTGGATCACCAACGTAGCAAGCATCATCAATGGTTGAGATGCAGTGGATGTAGCTATCATCGTTGTGACGGCATCCGGTTTTGGTTTGGTGGAGACAAGAGACCCATGTTTGAGCTAATGGTAGGTTATGCGTCTCACAAGCACATCTCAAGAGGTTTTGGATTTCAGGTAATGCAGCTTTGTATGATAAGTCACATCCCTGTAATTAAAAGAGAATCAATATGGTTTATACCAAAAGCAGAACTTATAAGAACTTGTGTTTTGTTTCTTTGATTACCTTTAGAGATGGCTGAATAGGAACTTCACTGCTCCTAAGATCAACTGCCTCTGAACAAAAAAACATTCTCCCCTCTCAGAAACACACATTTTAATCTAAAAAACATCAGAAACAAAAAGAACAGATCGGTTCGAAATCAAAATCCAGGGAAACTCGGATCCAAACATAGAAATAAAAGTCAAAGAGAAGAGAGATGGATCGGATCTGACCTTGTTTGTGACATGCGCCTTTGTCGACGGTGTGACATTGAGCACACTTGGTCCTGAAGATCTTTTCACCGGCCTTTGAGTTTCCTGGTGGTGCTTCATCGAACGATGCCATTTTCGCCTAAGAATTCGAGGAGGATCAAACAAAGAAGGGACGAAGCCATTCATCACCAACGACAAGCTGCCACGTAGCGCCTAAGGGACAAAAAAAAAGTTCCTTAATTAAGGGCCGTTTGTGTCGTCCCACAGCATTTTTGATTTATTTTTGACCCAAAAATCATTAAGGGACGGCCCAAGGCACGCCCGATAATGATGCTCTAACACAAATATATCTTGTTAGGCCTAAATTTAATAAAAGGCGAATTAGTTTTGTAAGACAGTGTCAGTAACCATTTGACCCAATAAGAACGCAGTAATGTCGAGTTTGGACCTTCTTCACGCGTCTCTGTTTATTAAGAAAATCTTGATAAAGAGTTGGAGACTTGGAGTATCCAACTACAAATTGAGATGAGAAAGTCTATAGAGGCCACGTACCATGTACTTGAATAAGTACACACCCACAATAAGCACTTAGCGAATATTTTACTATAAAATGTGAACCTTTTCAAATATGACTTTTGCATCACTATTTATGGAAATATTGGTTGATGAATCGTGTGCTACTCGAAACGTCTAAACGTGTATGTTAGGCATATCACTTTCTACTAACAATTGGGAGAGATGAGCCTTGAAGACGACGACACATGTACCAATACTAATAGTTTAGAATATAAAATATGGATGATATTGGAGGAGTGGCGATGGCCGTATCGTCACCAAGAAGAGCACTAAGAAGTTGCCGCCCCACTTTGTTCACCATTGTTCACACATTGGTCAAAGGAAGCTACTAGAACTTACGTGACTCATACGTTTCCATTATCCTCGGTTCCTTATAAATACGTTTGCATGCCAACATTCTCTTCATATACAATCAATCAATCCAACTTCACACGAGTCTTCTCAAGCTACCTTCATTTCTTATAAAACTTTCACAAAGAAGTATAGTTTTATCAGTGACTGATTAGTTTGGTTTGTAAAACAAGTGATGAAAATGGGAAGCCTCAAGTTCTTGGGAGCTGCTTTCTTGGTCTTGGTTGTTTTTGACGTATGTTTAGCAGCTAGATCACCAAAAGCTCTTGGTAGAGGCTCCGGTTCAGGTTCCGGATACGGCTCAGGCTCCGGGGGAGGAAATGGTGGTGGAGGAGGCGGTGGTGGTGGAGGTGGAGGAGGAGGAGGAGGAGGAGGAGAAGGATCAGGTTCAGGGAGTGGATACGGTTCAGGATATGGGTCCGGTAGTGGTTATGGGTCTGGAGGAGGAACTGGTGGTGGTGGTGGTGGAGGCGGAGGCAGAGGCGGTGGTGGAGGAGGTGGTAACGCAGGTTCCGGATATGGGTCAGGTTATGGAAGCGGCTCTGGATATGGAAGTGGTGGTGGTGGTAGAGGCGGGGGAGGTGGCGGTGGAGGAGGAGGGGGAGGCGGCGGTGGTGGTGGTGGTAGCCGTGGAAATGGATCAGGCTATGGAAGCGGATACGGTGAAGGATATGGAAGTGGATACGGCGGAGGTGATAATTACGGTGACTCACCCTAAATGATTCTTATTGTGACATAAGCATATTTTTACATGATTTAATAGGAAAATATAATAATGAGGTGACCGATTCTTTATCGTCACATAGACATGCTTATATATTATGTTGAGTTTTCTTTCGTTATTGAAGAGAGGGATGGTTTGGTTTCCATTGTCAATAACATGCATATTTCCATGCACTATATATATAAGATTCTTATGGCTTATGTGTACATATCAGCTTCTACTATTCATTCTATGAAATGCTTCGGAACTCAGATACATCGATAACTTTGGAACGACATAAAGAAAGTTACAGAAGTTTGGTTCCCCCAAAGATTACCATGCAGATGCCCTTTATCCAAATCCCTTATATATTAAAAGAGAAGCATTTTGCATTAAATGTTTTCACACCACCTTCTTACAATTTATTACCTTATTTACTACCTTCTCACAATTTATTACCTTATTTATTACCTTCTCACAATTTATTATCTTATTTATTACCTTCTCACAATTTATTACCTTATTTACTACCTTCTCACAATATATTACCTTATTTACTTCAATTATAAAACACACGAGATACTTTAAAACTACAAAGTTCAATATCGCGTGAGACAAGTTCGGAGGCAAGTGAATTGGCTTGAGGGTCGATGTCAAAGTTCTGGAACGTCGTTATTTGGGAGGTGGGACGTATCTAAGATGATGGATATGAAGGGCAACGTACCGGAGCCCATGAACGCGATCTTGGTTTGGACATGGCTCATGTGTAGCGTGAAGAGATTGAACTCAACCTTGCTAAATTTGAGGTAGTTAGTGTACTGAGGGTAGATCTAAATGGTGAAGTGTGTTGTCTTCGAGAGATCCCAAGGCCGTATAGTAGTGGTGCTCTGAAAGCTCTATATCTTCACTACGTAGGTTGGTGAGATTGGTTCTGTAGTTTTGGACTTTTGGGCACAAGTTTTTAACGTCGATTTTTGTATCCATAAGAAAGGACATAGACATAAGCTATTGAATTGTTGACATATATATGTGAAAGGTTTAAGGGCTCTTGAGATTGGAAATTTCGTTATACAAGTCGAGAATTTGCTTCTCGAAATGAGCCTTTTCACAACCCATCTCGAGACTAAAAGGAGATTTGGGATTGTCTCAATATTCTTAATGGTGTTGACAGTAATATACTTTCATCTTACGTGTTTCCATGTCGCGTGGATGACAAAAAAAACAGATATATGAGACAAAATCGCAATTTAACCAAAAAGACAATATTTATAATATAGATATATAATTAGACGATATTAAAACCCGAAACCACCAATCCAAAACAAACTAATATGCAAATAAAACATATATAATGTCTTCTTATCTTTAAAAATACAACAAATTTAATCATCTCATCCCGCGCAAGACGCGGGTCTAATCCTAGTAAGAAAAATAATTAAGATGCACAAACTGAAAAAGAATGTCAAAACAACTATATATAGAAAATCAATAAAACTGGAATTTAGTTGCACTTTTATTGTAAAAGGCTTTGGGCCCAAATAAATTATAGGCCCGAAACTTTAAACGATTTGCCGGTGCGGGCGTGGCAGACAGAATTTGACTGGTCTGGTCCTCGTCACAAAACCTCTCCCCATCTTTGCATAGTGCTTCCCCACAATGATAAAATTTCTACATAGGAAAAAAAATGATATATATATATATATATATAATTTTTTCAACTAAATATTTTTATTTGGGAAAAAAATATATTAACTGAAATCATTACAATATGTGAACCATGTCATGTGTTATTATTAAAATAAATTTTAGAATCATTAAAGAAATACAATGTAAACATATGGAGTACTATATTTCTCATAAAACTATAATCTATTTTTTCCTTAAATAAAAAATATGGATTGCCTAATGTGATGATTAAAATATAAGAATATAACAACAATGATTTGAATAATAAAGATTTGATAATATATTCTCTACCCTTTTATTTAATTTGTTAAAATAAAATTAAACAATCACATTAATTATACAATAAAATTTAAATTTTCTTGTATATGTTATTTTAAAAATGATTATAAATTATTAAAACTGTTAAAAAATTCATAATTAATTTTTATCAATGATTTAAATTTTGGTCAAAACAAGATAACAGTGATTATAAAGCCAGTATGAATAAGAGTTTTCAATTAAAATATATTTTGATTAAATATATATATTTTATATAGTTTAAATTTAATTTCATAATTTTAGAAACTGTAGCAACTTGAGTTGGTAAAAAGAAATAGGGTTAAGATTTTAATATAATCAAATAATTAAAATACATATTCTATATCTTTATATTGTATTAAATAAATAAAATTATTTATTTAACAAATATTTTAGAAATACATCACTTGCGCAAGGTGCAAATTATCTTTTTTTTATAAAAAAAAAAGATTCGAGAGGGGTAGCTAAACTGATTCGTTGAAGAAAAACACAGGGATAAATAGTATATACATATTTTATCACATAATGTGGAGAAATAATAAACGTGGTAATAGACTATAAGGTCTATATGGTGTAACAAGTCTGTTTCATGGGGCCACGGTATTATTTCGAAAATGGACCGATTAAATTTAATGTTGAATGTGTAGAGCTCCCTACCAATCAGACACATCCATGCCTTATGAGTCCCCTAGAATTATTGACTTCACTGGGATCAAATAAACTGGAGTTTCATATGTTTCCCTATTCATTACTACTAATCTCCCAATTTATGATTTTGTAACATTTATAGTGAAATGGAACAACAAGAAATATAAGCATTGCATAAGATTCAGAATCAGATGTTACGATGGACTTAGTCCCTATATCATAGCGAGGGGTGCTGACTTCTCGTTGAAGTCGTTAGTTTAAGATATTTGTAAACTGGGCCAGATAGATTTATAGTGATCAAATTGGGCCCAAATTTCTTCAAGTATGACAATACTTGTCGCTATATTTGTCTTTGTCTACCTCATTCTGTACCCGTCTTGATTTTCCTTGTAATTTCATACAAAAATTACAAAATTGCGTTTTCTATCTACGAAAAGGCCAAAGTAATACTACGAACAAAACATTGTTAAAAGGGAAACAGTATATTTTTACGAGTGCAAACGCATAATAAAGAAAAACAATGGGATCTAAATGTAATAAAAGAATATTTTAGGCCATCTCTATGCGTCGGTGACGTGAAACTTCCGTGCTGGAGAAATGCTCACATGCGTAATCGCAGCTTCTTCTTCTTTTTTTTTTTTGTTCAAAATCAAAGCTTATATTGTGGAACAACAACACATGTCCGAACACAACACACTATTACTAATTCAAAATATGCTGTCTATTTCTTCTTCTTAATTTTTTAAAAATTATCAAAATTACTTCGTTGTAAAATCGAGAATATCTAAGAACAAAATACCTACTATATATCGATCTCTCATGAAGGTTTGAACTTTTAAGGAAAAAAACAAAGAAAAATTAGAAACTTCGACGAATGTGTATACAACCTTTTTTTCCTTGTCTTGATTTAGTTTTTGGAATGGGTCTGAACTCGGACAAGTAAACCCGCCTTTTTCTCCTCGGTCTCTGTGCCATCTCTTCAGTATCGGATCTGGGTCTCCTTCTCTTTCGTTTCAAGGTACACCAACAAGTTTCAAATAATTTTCTATTTTATTCACACCAATTTCATTCAGATTTTGAAGTTCTTTTTGGAGCTATTTTTACAGAATATCGGTTACTGTTTCTAATTATAGTCTGTTCTTTATCCATCATTCAAATACTCATCAGTAATTCCGATTTAATGTCTGGGTTCGTATCCGATTCTGTTAATAATATTTTTATTAGTTTATGTATTTTGCCCCTAAGTCACGGCATTGTAAAAAAGCAAAAACACAGCTGTTCCTTGCTTCATGCCCGAGATTGGAAAAAATAATAATATATAGTATTTCCTTTTCACAAAACAACTAATTTCGAATCAATGCACTATAAAATTACCTACTTTTGACAGTATTATCTGAATAAAACATCAACTAAACTTCAAACTCCTTCCATCCTCTTTTAATCCTCTAATCCAATCTTTTCACTTTTTCTTTTTTTTTTTGAAACTTTATCCATCTATACCACGTGATTATCCATATTATGCACTATGATTAACCATTATTATTATTGATTGATGAAAAAATAAATTTGCTTTTGCAGATTTTTGGTTATTTTCAGGAGACGTGACGTTAGCTGTAATTCATTCTTTACTTGCTTTGGCTATTAAAAGGCGGCACCAGCTTGAATAAAAGAAAAGTAACACTCACACACATCTATAGAGACACATTTCGTTTGTATGTGTGTGTTCTTTCTTTTCAAGACCTAAGAGATCATCATCAGAGCTTATACTCTGGTCTAAAGTGTGAAGCTAGTGAGATCATGGGTATGAGTATCGATTTCGATGTTGATCTCGAGAAAGGAATCTTAGATTGTCAAAGTGTTTATACAAAATCGCCGGAGAAGCCATTGATAATGATACCAATGTCTCCAGAAAGAAAACCGGTAAAAACCGGAGAAGAAACTCTCGGTTCGGTAGAGAACGACGCAAGCCCGGTTCAATGTGCGTTCAGTAAACCGGAATGGGGGAGGAGCGAACGAAAGGACAAACGCAAGAAATCAGCGTCTAAACCTCCTCGGCCGCCGCGTGGACCGTCGCTAGACGCGGCTGATCAGAAACTGGTGAGGGAGATCGCTGAGCTGGCGATGCTGAAACGCGCGAGGGTTGAACGTATGAGAGCTTTGAAGAAGTCGAGAGAGGCCAAAGCTGCTTCTTCGGCTTCTTCTCTCGGAAATGTATTCGCTACTCTTCTCACCGCTATATTCTTCTTCGTTCTGGTTTTCCAAGGTGCGGTTTTGTTTTCAAACTCTTGTGACTGCGTTTGCGTTTTGGTAGTTGTTAATTTCGGTTAGTCTCATGTGTGTGTTTTCCAAATATTCAGGATTGTCGCCGAGAGCATCCGCTAGCTCCGGGGAAAAAGCCAATGTTGGTTTTGTACCGGTTCAGTATGTGGGAAATCCGTCTGCGAACGAACCGGATGGAGGTTATGCCGGTCCGGTTATAGCACAGAGATTCCCCAAGTAAGTTGTTTTGTTTTTGTCTGGTTAAGAAGAGCAATGATATTTTCATTTTTGTCTAAAATGATCTCTAATACTTTTTCTTTCTGTACTCGCAGTTTACTGAAACCAGTTTCCGGATTGGAAAATGAAAAGAAGATGAATAGAGTTTCACAGTGAATAGTAAACTAAAGGGTCTAGACTCTAGAGAACTCCATACTTCACGATCAAACCATTTATCGGTTTAGGTTGTCGGTGAACGTCCATGTGTTCCTACCGATAATTTTTTTGGGCCAAAAATCAGCTGCTTTCTCGGCGGCTATAAAACAATAACAACCGATGTGGTTAAGAGTAGTTTTGTAGTAATGTTTTCGTGTAATAAAATGAGAGAAAGTTACAAAAGAAGTTAATGAAATTCAATGTTATACTTTCATTTGCATTCGGTTATCAGACATTTGTCACGTTAATCTAGAATACAGAACAAATCGGTATCATTTTAGTAGGAGATTGTTGTATTTGAAAAGAATGGTAAGTAGCATCAATTTTTTGATGAAATCAAAACGGATAAAAAGATAAGTTAAGCAACTTTATTGGTATACTTATTTTATATTTGAAATCACATGTTACCGATGCTTGCAGTTTGAATTTGAAATTAATTATTAAAAAATTAAGAAGTATTTCTGGAAACAGAATCCATGTGGCTGCAATCTGAGCACTCCACTGAGCTTTAGACACCACTTTTAATGCTGTGCAAAATTAATCGAACATGTGGTTTCACGTGTATATGTGTATTTCAGTTGTATGTTCTGTTGCTGTCTTCGGATACTTCATGAGCCCAGTATTTAAGGCCCATGAACTCTTAGTATTTTTAACTGTTCAAGTCACTGACTCACCGTAGACTATACTACTCGGCTGGATTAAATTGTTTTTTTTTTTAACGCTGAAAGTTCATTTTGTTGGGCCATTTTATTTAAAGCCTAATGGCTATTTAATAAAAAGGCAAGTTTTGAATAGAAATGGGCTAAAGGGTTAATAAAAAGCCTTGCTAGCATTAATGAAAGAAATGGGATTTGTCCCACATCGACTAGGAGAGGTAAAATAGAGTGGTATATATATGTGTTCACTCTATCACTTGTTCAAATGGCGCATGAGAGAGATTGGACTCACCCCCCACGCGCGCGCCGCCGCCGCCGTCCGGCTCAGCTCGGCTCGGCTCGGCTTGGGCTTGGGCTTGGGCTTGGGCTTGGGCTTGGGCTTGGGCTTGGGCTTGGGCTTGGGCTTGGGCTTGGGCTTGGGCTTGGGCTTTATTGGAGGGCCTTTGGCCCGATAAGAAGTTATCTTTTTGGACTAAATTAAGCCCAACGCTGTGCCATTTTTAAATTTAAAAACAGCATGACGTGTGTAAATAAACAACACGTAGTTTGTGTAAAA